TCGTTGCACGTAAACAACTGACATAACCAAAACAATACAAATCTGAAGTTATATTGTTGCAGAATAAAATTATGCCATTTTCTTCATTCTTGGTCGCAGGCCCTCCTTTTTTACTGGGGTCTTGCCACAAATTTGTTCACGCTCGTGTTTTAAAGTTCGTAGATACTCTTGACGTTTTTACAGCCCATGTTACATTTGCCTTTCATTTGTGGAAAGAATTGGAGCTTGTGCCTCAACTCCCTGTATCACTGACTAGACTTGGGGCGTCCCAAAACATATTTAACATTTCATATTCATTGAAAATGAAGCATTTGTCTTTTAAACGCGGACGGACAGAAACTTACGTTTTGAAACCATTCGCAAATTACTTCTTTTCTAACATGCCCCGGTTGACGAAATTTTTTATGAAGTCGTTTTAGAAAAGCAAAATTACATTTATCTGACGTGTTTGCTTGCTTGCTTATTTGATAACAGTCTCGAAAGTAGTGTAGCCGGTCTCAATGGGGTTAACCACTAGCTTGAAAAGGGAATGAACTAGGCATATGCCCTAAAGAAGGGCAAAAATCTAACCGTTAGCCGTAAAAGACATCACCCTAGTGATATGCCCTCGATGGTCATGCACTTCACGTCTCCATGGTAATCATCGTGGTTGTTATGAATTTCCCTCCAAGTAAAGGGGTTTTCAGGGATGATTTATAAGGTATTCTCAATTTTCATCCCTGTTATAAAAGCAACCCATACTCTTCTCCCCATTTTATTTTTCAAAAAGTAAATTAAAGTTACATTCCACAAGAAAGATAGACGTTGCTCAGATACACCTATGTATCTTTTTTTTTTTTTTTTTAGTCGTCACTTTTTGATGCCACAATTGCAAATACTTCGTAGATGTTTTCCAAGTTCTTAATCAGGGACACTTACTTAACAAATTGTTTTTCGCTGTGAAATTAAACCTCTCATATGTTAATAAATTTGATAAAAATATGCATAATTGATTGCATTCTCAGAAGTGTGTCAAGGAGTCGTTGTTTCATTTTAATTAAGAAAAAAATCAAAGCGTGAGCTATACTGAAAGAAAGAGACGCGTACGATAACCAAATATTACAAAAATCCTTTAAGTCCTGTTTTTTCTTCTGCCCCATTCAATGAGTGAGGCGCTCGAAAATTCCAGAAGTCTTGGGCCTCCAAAAACGGCTATGATCATGACGAAAGAAAATATGAACCGGTGGCCCTGAATAAACCAATTCCCGATAATTTCTAAGCAACACTCATTGTCGTGCCGGGAAGATTACGAGCCTGATAGCCTTCGTGTGAAGGTTCCTGCTTTTGATCGATACTTAACAGACAGAGACCAAAAACACTCTAGTATTCGTGACAAAGTTTGGGAAGTAAATTCTTGAGGGAGAAACCCGACTACTCCAATAACAAGGCAAAGGAAAGTGGCCGTACAAGTCAGCCATGGAACGGAATAAACGCGACTAAAGGGGTAAACAGAGTCAAATTTTTCCACGCATATCACTAATAAATGATCGCACAGTTCATCTCTCACTGGAAGGGTGAGTGCAACAGTTGGTAATTTGACCGAGCTGATTTACCCCAAATAGCACTTGAATCATCTAATTTATGCTCATCGCGAAAGATATCCTATAAACAATTTGTCTTACCTGAAAGACGATGAGGAAATTACACTGAATGAAGCCACTAAAATGAGCCAATTAGTTTCCATGCAGTTGGCTATTGGGACCGAGAAAGAAAAGTGTTGTTTAACGAGAAATCCCGTTACAATGGCCTCAAGATAGCAGTTTATAATCAGGCTATCGCCTACATGCAAATCGACGGCTGTGTATACAGAAATTAGCGTGTTTTTCCTTGTTTATTTTCATCATACTGTGTAAACTTCGTTAACAAACAACAACACCCAACAGACCTTTCGGTTTTATCAGGAGAGAAAAATTGCTGATAATGAATACTTTTGGAATCACATGCCAAAGGTTTCATCCTCTATGGAGGTTTTGTACCAAAGCAGTTTGACCTACTCTTAAATTCTAGGTAGAATGCATACCGTTCTGGCGATGTTTAATTATAGTGACGAGACAATTCAAGATCTGTGAGATAAGCTGCGAAGCGTAAACCAGTCGGTTTTCATTGGACGAAATAACGCACGCCTTTCTTTTCTCATACACTCGTCAAGAGCGAAGCTATGAAACTGACAACGACGTCCTGTTTTTGCAAGTGTTGCTTTTAATCACACTCTACCCTGGTTTTGATACTTAGAGTTGCTGAAGGTTGTAAAATTTCGGCACCTTTGAAGAGAAATTGTACGCCTACTTTGATCCTCAGAAATCCGCGCACGTAAGTTAAAATTAACGATAAAGGCGAGTTTCACGAAGCTCTATAGGCCAGTTTTGTTATTCTTCGAGTTCACCTTAAATAGGCCATATATTTCATCGGTTATGCCTTATTGATTTTATCCAGCGGCACTGTCTGAAATTTGTTAAGCAGACATCTTTGCTCTGAAATGAGGCCATTCAGAATACTGACAAAACTAGAAAAATCTTTCGGCTAGGAACAAAAATCGTGCATTCGGGAGTGCCACGCTTCGACGAGTCGAAAATTTATTGAGAGTCGTGTTGCTCTTTCCTATAAAAAATACATTTGGGCTACGCCTTAAAAAATGCGAGAAGGACTGTGACATGCAACTCGATTTCCTCGGCTGTCACCTTCACATTCAAAGTCACTTGTCATAGTTCTCGTTAAAATTGCAGCAAATATTTTACTTTGCACACCTGTAGCGTGTGACAACCTGCTGTGGATTTTAACGACATCCAGGTAAAACTTTTTGAAGGATTGCTTGGTAATTGAAAACGTTGAGTGGAATGTTTGCCAGTTGCTCATGCAATAACGATATTTTAACGACATCCAGATAAAACTTTTTGAAGGATTGCTTGGTAATTGAAAACGTTGAGTGGAATGTTTGTCAGTTGCTCATGCAACAACTTACGAACAGACTTTGCTTGAATTTCGATCCTAGGCTATTAGGCTCCAGGAGACTTCTGCGATCAAATCTGGTATTAATTGGTGCCAATTGACGCCATTAAGTATAATCAAATTAGATCCACAGTTGGGTTGTGAGCTATTATTTCACAACTGGGCAAGAAGATTGTCATTTTTTAATTCTTACAAAGAACATGATTAATTGTGACGGCAATTTGACTTTTTTGAACAAAATCACGCACAGACACTGCCATATTTGCAAGAGTAAGCTTGTTATTTTTCTCGAGATAAAGTTGACTGCATATGTAATCAAATGAACCGTTCTGTCGCAGTTCATGGACAACCCTATTACCAAAGGTTCTGAAATTATCCGTAACCAACAATTTTGAACAGGCATGTTCGATGTGATTAAAGTCTCTTCGCAAGTGTTGTATCTAGAATTCGCAAACATTCTATTTCATGCCTTCAAGTACCAAATGGTCGTTCACAAAGTTTTAATGAAGTGAAATTCTTTAAAATCTACAACAGGTTGTCACTCGACAGGTGAGCTAAATCAAATACTCGTTATAATTTTAACAACAACTACAGTATGATCAAATTTAAGATGACATTTTGAACGAAGCTAGCTGACAACCGTATACGTACGCTAAGAAACAACATATCTTCGGCAGCTTTTGGCATCAACAGTTTCCAGATTTGACCACTGGGGGCCAACAAATGAATCTTCGTCATGACTTTCCATGTCATTCAAGTCTCGTAGCCCTATTAAAAGCGAACTTAATTTTTTTTGACATTTTTTCAGTTTGAGCCCATTTTCGTGTCATTTTCAGTTGCTGCAGTTGGGATAACTTTTGTGGAGGGAAAGATCTTGTTACGACTAGTGCAACTCCCAAAGGTTTAGGCGAGTTACGTTAAAATGAAGACTTTTTGAAAACAAATAAACTAATCCAAGTAAAAACAAAAATCTAATCCAAGTAAAAAAAAAAAAAAAAACGAAATTCTAACTGTACCTTAAAGCTGTCGCTAAACCCTCCATCAATAAGATAAAAAGAACTGAGAACTTCATTTTCTTCATTACAATTCAAATATTTTGGAAATCAGTTCTCTGGAGAAAGAATAATTGGCATTTCTATCAGGCAACTGTTTGATAAGCTTCGTTGATTCAAAATGTACTTAATTAATTTTCTACACTGTTTAACGAGTGAAATCGCCAACAAATGTATATTTACCCAATACGTGGAAGCACCAGCTGTTCAACCAAATTATCACGGACCGATAGCCCGACCGAAGGTCTCCTTGTTATCTTCGAAACTTGGGGAGATTTTCAAGCACTGCTTTTCAACTAAGAGTTTACTGACAATCAATGTTCACAAGGAACCTTCCTTCTCGCAGCTACGCGGCTCGGTTGAAGTGTTTGTTTGGTAGTAATTTCAACATGTCTAAGTTGTTTGTCTGTTAAAACGCGCGGACAGGTGTTCAGGATCAAGAAGAACTGACTTGTTAGAAGACACAAGTTCCATGGCAAAGCCTTCATGTTAAAACGAGTTGGATGTTAAGATAGGCGAGCTGAATTCGGGGTGGGGGGCAAAAGGACTGGGTTCTAGCTGCACCTAAGTCACCCACGCACACTTCTCTGGGTAAGATCTTGCATGACTCTAACAGGAATTCTCCCCCACAAGGGATTTAAGTGGGTAGGACTGCCATATTCGCTAATACATTCTTCGAACGACCGCAATAAAGCATCAACAAGACTAAAACACTAAATCGCGAGTGCACCGAGCAAACATTACACGGTATCAGTCCTGAGTGCATCGCGCACCATTCAAGATGGCAGCCGCGGGAATTCGAAATAGCTGCAAGACCCCTCTTTGGAAACGATAAAAAAAATCGGATCGCTTGGCAAGGCAATTTTTTTTAAGCAAGATCTTTGGAGAAGTACACTTGGAACATTTTGAGCGCTATTTGTTAAAAAGAGTGAAGGTTCCCTTAAAAGAGGAAGACCCTTAAAA